GTTTTCATTATAATGATGGTTTAACAAGCTTAGGGGTCAGTTTCCAGTGGGGGGAAAAAAAATTAATATATTGATTTTTTTACAGAGAGGAAGGGAGGGGAATAGAGAGAAACATCGATCGAAAGAAACATCGATCAGCTGCCTCCTGCACAACCCCTAATAGGGATGTGCCCGCAACCAAGGTACATGCCCTTGACCAGAATCAAACCTGGGTCCCTTCAGTCCACAGAAGATGCTCTATTCACTGAGCCAAACCGGTTAGGGCTTCAGTGGATTTTCCCTCCATCTTGGATTCTGCCACCATCTCAGTGATTTCCTGCCATAAACTGTCTCCCTTCAATCATGCATGAAGTGGGGGCTCTGGTGAGAGGCCCTAGCAGCTTATTGGCTTACAGTGTCTGTTCCTACTTCCTCATTCCACTTGTTGGGAGCTTCCTCTAACTTCTTTCTATCCTGCCTCATTTATACCTTCAAAATATTTTCAGTTGCTCAATCAAGTATAAATAAAAATACTATCAGAATGATTCTAGACTGAGCCCTAGATCAGTGTAAGAAGTGTCAGTATGAAATGAAGGGTTTTAAGAAAACATATATACATATAGATAGGTACAAAAATAAGTACAAGTGTGTTTACATAAATTAATACTCATACATATACTTCCTGACTGTCTGCTGACAGGGCTTAGAAGCAGTGATATCCCAATTGTAATGAGCACATCTAGGTCCTAGTTTTGGTTTCTGAATATAATTCTTTTGTAAAAGGGACCAGGTGCTCTCTGGAAAAGTGCTTGATTTCAAGGCTGGGGTAGGGAAAATACAAGATGAGCCTGGAACATCTTCTGATGCCAAAAAATAAGGAAATACTTAAAATGAAATTTTTTAAAGATATGACATGTTGAAAGGATATAGGAACCAACCTGAATTAGCTCCGAATGGCCAAAGCATCAAAATAAATAACAGTATAACAATAGTATTGAATTACAACCCAAACAATAAAATAAATATTCATGACAAAGCAAGTTCAACATTATATGGCATACAACTTATGACAGGGAAACAAGACACAGTACGCCTGAGGGACATAGCAGCCATCATGTTAAGTATTAATTTACAGATCAGAGCATTGCCCAAGAAATTAAACTAGAAGGATGTTTCCTTTCCAGCAAGTCAGGCTGGATCTGGGTCTAGCATAAAGAGGAATAATGCTCAAGTGATTCTTTTCTTAATGCTTTCCAAAAATCAGATGAAAATGCATTGTCTTTTATTACCCTCTGTTGCAGTTAGAATCTCTTCCGTGTTTGCACAGAGGTTGATCCATGTATGCACTCAAATGTTTAATGGAAGAATGCAGTGAATTTGGTTGGTAGGATGACACATTAATGCATTGCATTTGAATAAATGGCGATAAGAAACAAATCCTGCATAGCTGTGCCATTTTCATATTTTATCCCTCTTGCACATCTTTCATTTTACTGAGTGCTTCTAGGCAGAAAGCTGCAGACTGACTGAAACAAGTCATCCAGATTCCTGTGAAGAAATAAAAAGGCTTTTATTTTTAAGTGCCTTCCATTGCCACTTCTTAAACCTGACCATTATTAACTTGCTCAAAAATAGCTATGAATCACTGTGTCAGGAAAGACACAAAGGTGGTAGTTAACAGTGAGGGCTTTGTTTCCATTCCAGTTTTACAACTTAGTATAAACTCTACTAAGGTCCTTAACTTTCTACCCTCACTTTCTCTTCTTAACCCTATAAGGATACTTAATAGAGTTATTAAGAAGAAATCAGCTTCAGAGAACCTAGAGAAGTTTCTAACACATAGTACTTCCAAGAGAGATGATAGTATATTCATCAGCAAACCTTCATTGAATGGCTGCTCTCTACAGAGAGCATGTGCTAAGTGCTGGGAGTTCAGACATATATTATTCCCCTCTCTACTCTCAAGGAGTTTAGTCTGATGGAGAAGGCACATAAGTAAAACAAGAAGAGGAAGAATTAATATTCTTCTATTCTTTTGAGTAACTCATGCATTATATATTATTTATAAGTAGTAACATAATATACAATAAGTTGCTCACAGAGACTTTATGAAGTGTAGGTATTATGCCCATTTTGCAAATGATAAATCAAGGCTCTGTTTGAGAAGTTAAGTAATTTACCCAAGATCACACAGCTTGTGTATTCTCTCAGGATCTTTTTCTCTGAAAGGCAGTAGTTGATGATGAAGCTCCACAGAAGGAGAAGGGAACTCATTTCACATATGCTCCAGGCATTTTATATTCTTAATCTAGCTTAATCCTCCCAGCATCCTATCTTGGCAGGTGTGTTATCCCACATTTATAGATACAGGATTTGATTCCAAATCTGCCTGACTCTACAGTTTTCCTTCACTGATATATCAGATGATCTATTACAAATACAATGTGTATAAGCACTTTGATAAGCTTATAGAAAACATCTGTATATATGCCATCTGCATATAATAGCCTTCGTGAATCTCATTGTTTTTTTGGTATTTTATGTTGCTACAGGCTCAAGTTCCAATTTTCTTTAGTTACTCACAGGAAATAGAAGTACACATCTACTTGGTACCACTCTTTATAAGTTAACAAGACACTTTCTGTGTCCTAGACATGTAAAGCCAAGGTTGAGACTGGAATGCCACAAGCACGTGATGCTTTTCTTGCTCTCGCCTCTTGCCTATGAAATATACAGTGAGCAGGCTCAGGCAATAAAGAGGCCGGCTGCTTTCCTGACCAACCTCTGCCCAGTCAACCCTGAGTCCATTCCACCAGAGTCCAGGAAAGTTCAGAATGAAGGAGTTCTGGAATGGTTTTTTGAGACTTTAAAACTTTACAATGCTGTTTGGAGTGTGTCCTCAACTTAATGTGTGCTAAAACTCATCCTGTGACTATGGTTTGAAACACAGCAATTATCGGACCTATTTCAGGATCTCCTAACACTCATCCAGAGCTCCGTGTGCTTTTCTGTGTGCATGAATTAATATTTTCCTCTTTAAATGTTATTTGAACATATAGTTCTTGACTCATTTGAGGATATAGGTTTTCTAGAAAATTAAAGTGTATCAATGTGGACATATATTGTAAGGTGTGTCGCTAGTCTTAAGGTGGAATTAAGAAAATAAGACCTTTCTCGCAGTCTTTTCAGAAAACAGAGTATAGGACTGAACCTGAGAAGGGAGAAGTTCTCATTGTCCCATACTTCTGGGTGCCAAGGACAGACCATAGTGTTGCTCCATCAGGTGTAGACTGCGCCTGAGGCTCTTCCCCCAATGCACCCTTTTCTCTTCTGAACCCGTAAGCTCCGCTATACTTTTCCTACCGTCCTTGTGTATTCTCTCAGGACCTTTTTCTCTGAAAGGCCGTAGTTGATGATAATGCTCCACAGAAGGAGAAGGGAGCTCGTTTCATTTTATATTCTTAATCTAGCTTAATCCTCCCAGCATCCTATTTTGGCAAGTGGGTTATCCCACATTTATAGACACAGAAACTACGGTTCAGGGAAGTTAAATTACTTTCCTAGAGGAGTTGAAGCTATAAAGTGGCAAAATTGGAGGCCAGCTCTAGTTCTCCCTAACTTCCTAGTTTGTACTGTGCCATGAAGCTATAATGTTGGAGATTGTGATTGTTGTTACAGTTACTGCTGCTTGCCACCAGCTTTACATTAACTAACTGAGAGAACGCTTCCACATAATGTACATACTCAAGGTGTGAGTTTATATTGTCATTGGATTCCCACAATAACCTGCTGATTATGTATATTTATTATTTCAGCTTTATAGATGGGAAAACAGAGGCTCACAAAGACTGATCCAAAGTCATGCAGCCAGTCAGTCTGGCAGTGGAGACTTGATCCAGTCCCCTGGGGCCGCTCACTGTCCATCAGTGCTGTGCGGGCCAGTGCCTGTCGCTAGGGCAGTGTTCTCCCGTCAGGCTATAACAGCGCAGTGAGGCTGTAACTGACAAAATAATAGGAATTTGTTTCTTCTGTAAGAACATGAGACTATGTGAATGCTGAGCAAAAGGGCACAGGCTTGTGTTTAAACCAAAGCTCACTGAATTCTGCTGTAATTTTCATGCATATTGAAGGCATATGAGTATAGTATTCCCAGAGTGCAAGCAGTATATTAAAAAGGTAGATTCAGTACAAAACACGGAGGGGAAGGCCATTAACTGTTGTAAAGTATAATGCTACTACATTCCATAAATGAGTAAGTACTGGTGATAGGTAGCCTGTGACTGGACCATGTTGCCATTACATGTTAGTGAGCTATTCAGGTAGGATTTCCAGTCAGTCGACTTTCCTATAGTTCTGGGTAATGTCCATTTTGTATTTTAGTTGTGTTTTATTGAAATTGTTGTGTGCGGCTGCGGTTAGGTGTTTACCTGTGCAGCCATCTTGGATCCTCCTCACCTCTTTCCTATTCAGGTAGGTATCTGCCTATATCCAGATACATGAACCAGCACTTAGAGAGTTGTTTCTTAGGAAACACTGTACTCAGTTGCCTTAAAAGGTTATATACTTTGCTGCCCTGTGATAATGGCTGTAGGAACAGCCAGTCTCTTAGAGTATCTTAGAATTTTATTCATTTGGTTCCTTTCTTACAGACCATATAAGATAGCTAACTCTTAAATCATGGAGTAATTGAAATTCTGAGATTATCAAATTCAATTTGGTTGTCCACACCAATGGATTTTCTTTCAGCCTTAAAAATATAGTATTAAAGTATTTTTTCTAATCTCTTATTTTCTTTGAGAAGAAAACTTGATTCATGTATACATTTATTCAAGAAATATTTTTTGAATGCTAAATATTTGCTAGTCTGTGCTAAATGTTAGGGAAGTGGGACAGATGTCATCCCATTCCTCACAAAGTAAATAGCAGTGATAATGTTAATATAGCATATAAAATTTATTACAGAGAAATCCAGTATAGTTTGAGACCACAGATGAAAGTACCATTTATTTATATTCCAACAGATTTCGGTTTTGGAAATTTCTTTAAAAGTGGTGAACTTCTGGCAACTTGGTGTGGCAGCCCCCCTTATGCAGCCCCAGAAGTCTTTGAAGGGCAGCAGTATGAAGGACCACAGCTGGATATTTGGGTATTTCTTTGCTTTGCTGTGTTTTATTTAAATGCATCTATAAGGATAATACTTGGAACTTTGGCCCATTTTTAAAAGCTCTGGTGTCTAACACATAGGCAGTAGTTCATACTTTCCCTACCCATTGGACTATAATTAGTTGAGTATCTTGAATTGGATTCTAGGAAATAATTTCTAAGGACAGATGTTCTCATTCTAATATCAGCAATAATTTAACGTTAAGTAGTAATCAAATGATTAATGCATTTTGATATTTATTATAGGATACTTTATTGTAATAATTAGCATTTCAGATTTTTTTCAAATTTAAGAACATAGTACATTCAAACAAAGTTTTTTAGTCCATAGGACATGAAGGGATATTTGGGGAAACAAAGAGTGTTTGAAGTTCTTGGTGTAAAAATGACCCCGTTGTTTTCTTCCCCTAGAGCATGGGAGTTGTTCTCTATGTCCTTGTCTGTGGAGCACTGCCTTTTGATGGACCCACTCTTCCTATTTTGAGGCAAAGGGTTTTGGAAGGAAGATTCCGGATTCCGTATTTCATGTCAGAAGGTAACAACCTGTTCACCTTACTCATTGGGCACTACAGTCTCTGCGTTCCTAATGAAATGCGTAGGCGAAGCCTCCCTTTTTCTAAGAGTTTGGGTGCTAAATAAAGTGACCGAGTTACTTTAAAACCCATAGAAATAAGCAGCCCCCTCCATGTAGGGGAGAAAAGTTCCAGCCTTCCTAACTGAAAACAGAAAGGTCCCCTGATTAAGAACACAAGTCTCCCATTTACTCTCGGTCTATTAATGTCCCAGGTCAATTTTAGCCTTAGAGAAGTTCTTTGTAGATACAGATTCACAACCATTTTACTCTGAGTTTGAAATGGATTTTCTCATATCTTTTGGCAGGAAGTTGCAAAATTAAAATGTCTAAATTAGCCGAAACCGGTTTGGCTCAGTGGATAGAGCATCGGCCTGCGAACTGAAAGGTCCCAGGTTCAATTCCTGTCAAGGGCATGTACCTTGTTGCGAGCACATCCCCAGTAGAGGGTGTGTAAGAGGCAGCTGATCGATGATTCTCTCTCATTGATGTTTCTAGCTCTCTATCCCTCTCCCTTCATCTCTGCAAAAGATCAATAAAATATGTTAAAAAAAAAAAAAAAAAAAAAAAAACGGGGTGACTACAGTCTAGCCAAAAAAAAAATTAAAAATTTTAAAAAATAAAATGTCTAAATTAAATTTGAAAACCAACTGACAGAACTATTGAATTAAGATGAAATGCTGTAATCCCAATCAGTTTTATATTGGACTGTAACATAAGCAGCAGTTAGGTTTACCCTTTAGATTAGTTTTTGGTTATCACCCTTAATGCTTTTCTTTCTAGAAACAGAAATAATGCTTCAATAATTAAGTGTAGACTTTTGAGTCAGACTGCCTGGTTTCAATCCTGAGTTCACTCATATCTCTTCTCTGTGCTTCCATTTCCTCACTTTATAAAATGGAAAAAACCATAATTCCTAAGAGAGCTGTTGTGAGGATTAATTAAATTAATCTGTATAAAGCACTTAGCAGAATGCCTGGCACCTACCAAGTGATCTAAGCTTATGTGGCGTGGTGAAGAGCATGATGTCAGCTCAGGAAATAAGCTGGTGCCCAGGCAGGCAGCAGTGCAGTTTTCTTAGTGGAATCAGGAGTAAGTAATGTTTCAGGTACATTTGTTTCAGTTGCATTGATGAAGAGAAAGCAGCAGTCCACTGGCTAGCTCTTGCCTCACAGAGCCTTAGACATAACTGAGGATCACTTATTATTTGCTTATTTTGGGAAGAAGGCTTATTTTTTCCTTTAGTGGAAATCTAAGCTTGTGTCTAGGTATTCTCAGTTGACAAATCAGTTCATTTAGTACAAAATTGGATAGGCCTACACCCTCCTGTTTTTCTTAAGTACTCTTTCACAGTGATGGTTAATTTTGTGTGTCAACATTCACCTGACTACTTAACAAATATAAGTAACCTTTATGTATTTATTTATTTATTCATTTGACCTTCTACTTTCCAGTAGGCGCTGTGGAGGACACAAAGATTACTGCCATTGTACAAAGTCACATCAATAAAGCAAACACCCTGAAGTGCAAGTCGATTGACGTGACTTTTGTACCATTGTGTTTTCCATAGATTGTGAGCATCTTATTCGAAGAATGTTGGTCCTAGACCCGTCCAAAAGGCTAACCATAGCTCAAATCAAGGAGCATAAATGGATGGTCATAGAAGTTCCTGTACAGAGACCTATTCTCTATCCACAAGGCCAAGAAAATGAGCCATCCATTGGGGAGTTTAATGAACAGGTTCTGCGACTGATGCACAGCCTCGGAATAGATCAGCAGAAAACCATTGAGGTAAAGTGATCAGAAATTTGACTGAAAAAATTTTAGGATTTTGTTGTACTCAGGAACTTGAAATTTCATGCTTATACCTATCAGCCTAGTCTTTTAGCATGACTATCCCCAGTACCTGAACATACTGTTCAATATTCCCTGAAGATTAATCAGGCATTTTTTTTCTTTTACTCAACATATGAATCCCTACCTTTGCCCCATCTGCCAAAAAACTCAAGAGGAATGGTTTATATAGGACTGAGAAAAAGACAAAGACAGAAACTTAACAAATACGAAGTAGCAAGTTTCTTCTAAGATGAACCATAAAGTAGTTTCACATAGTAATAAACTAGTTTATATAGAACATAAATGTGCAGCTATGGAACAAGGCTGAGGGCTGAGCAGAAAACAAGAATGATAGGCATCAGATTTAAGAAAGCCAGCTGGATTTGGCTTGTGAACTGGAGAAGCTGAGCCGACAAAAACAGGTAGATTCCTGATATGGAAGTACCAGAAGGTTTGAATTTAGAAAATTTCTCATCACTTTTATTTCTTTCTTTCCTTAATAGCATATTCATAAGATATACATATTCTTAATACCTACACAATAGTAAGACAGACAAACAAACAAACAAACAGAAAACAGTACTTTTGAGGAGGGACCATAACAAGAAAGAATATTAAATGCTCCCTTGTGAATATTAAGTGCTCTGAACTGTACTGCCTTTTCCTTCAGGGTAGCCATAAGTGAAACCAGACTGGCTTTGCTGCTTTGCTCGTCACACACTCTGATGTCAGCACAGTTCCACTGGTCTGGGATTTTTGCCACGTGTTCTGCCTCTTAGGTGTACTGCACAGCACCCAGGCACACTGTCAGGTGGAATTAGAAGTGAAAGGAGCAGTTGTTTCTGTTTCATTAGTACCCTGGAAATCTGGCGGACAAGGAATGTGAAAAATTGGGAAGCGACTTTATATTCAAGATTTTAAGAGGTCTTGACTGCAAAAGCAAGAGGAAAAAATTACCTAGGAACAGAGACACCGTGTCTCTCAATCTAGCTTCCAAATGTCATTCTCCAGCCTAAAATAATCACCAGAAAGTTCCCCGAAGACTTGAATCAGTCACTTCAGAGTTTGCAGTGGTTTGTACTTGTGTGGAAGCTGTAGATCTAGAGCCTCGGGGCTCAGGTTGCTAGCCAACCTTACGCCATAGTTAGAGCTATGAGATGGGACCTCATGACAGCATTGGGGAATGTCTGCAGGAGACAGTGATGGCATTTTCTCTAAATGCAGAAAAATAAATGGATCCTGTTCATGTCAAAGGGCCTGTTATTTAATGGTATCACCCTGTATATAATTAAAACTAGAAACTTGAAGTGATCTTTTATTTTAAACTCTGGAACAGCTTTTATTTTGAGGCATACTTTGTTACTCTGTAAGAAAGAAAACATTATTTCTTCCATCTTTTTTTAGACAGGTATAGATCATTGGATCGATTTTTATGGCTCTTGGCCTTCAGCGCTTGTTTTCTCTTTCAGTCTTTGCAGAACAAGAGCTACAATCACTTCGCTGCCATTTATTACTTGTTGGTGGAGCGCCTGAAATCACATAGGAGCAGTTTTCCTGTGGAGCAGCGGCTCGATGCCCGCCAGAGGCGGCCTAGCACCATTGCTGAACAAACAGTTGCCAAGGTAACACCCCATTAGCCAATAGTCTTATCTGTGCATGTGCCTGTTCACATGGTTGACACATTGTTCATCTTGTATTACAAAAGGGTAGGATTTCATCTTCTATGCTCTGTTTTGTTGTCAAGTTTCTGCCTGTCATTCACTAGATTCTCAAATGTTTTAACACCTTTTTTTCCCAATTACAGTTGACATACATATTATATTAGTTTCAGGTGTGCAACTCATGATTAAGCATTTATATAATTTAGGAAATGATCATCCCAATAAATCTAGTATCCATCTGACACCATACAAAGTTATTATAATATTGACCATATCCTATGCTGTTCTTCACATACCTATGAGTATTATATAACTACAATTTGTACTTCTGATTCCCTTTACCTTTTTTTCACCCAGCCTCCCAACCCCCTTTCCACCTGGCAACCATCCAAATGTTCTCTATCTGTGAATTTATTTCTGCTTGCTTGTTTGTTTTGTTTTAGATTCCACATACAAGTGAAATCATATGGCATTTGTCTTTCTCTGTATGACATAATACCCTCTAGGTTCATGTATGGTGTTGCAGACGGCAAGGTTTTATTCTTTTTGTTTGCAGTTTACATTTAATATCATTTTGTATTAGTTTCAGATATACAGCATAGTGAATAGACAATCATATACTTTACAATGTGCCCTCCCCCAATATTTCTATTACCCATATGGCAACATACATAGTTGTTACCATATTATTGACTATATTCCCTATCCTGGACTTCACATCCTGTGATTATATTGTAACTAACAGTTAATACTTCTTTTTATTGATTTTTAGAGAGAGAGGAATGGAGGAGGGGAGAGAAACATCAATGTGAGAGTGAAACATCATTCGGCTGCCTCCTGCAAACCCTCACTGGAGATCGAGCCCGCAACCGTGGCATGTTCTCTGAATAGGAATTGAACCAGGAATCTTTCAGTGCACAGGAGGGTGCCCAACCAACTGAACCATACTGGCCAGAACACCAATTTGTACTTTTTCATCTCTTCATCTTTTTCATCCAATCCCTCTCCCCTCTGTGAACCATTAGTCTGTTTTCTGTTGTCTATGAGTCAGTTTCAATTTTGTTTGTTTTGTTCTTTACATTCTACGTATAAGTGAAATCATATGCTAATTGTCTTTCACTGACTGACTTATTTCACTTAGCATAATAATCTCCAGGTCCATTCAGGCCTTCTCAAATGGTAAGATATTTTTTGTGGCCAAGTAATATTCCATTGTATATATATACCACCATTTTTTTTTTTTTATCTACTCTATTGATGGACACTTGTGTTACTTCCATAGTTTGGCTATTGAAAGTAATACTGCAGTGAACATAGGAGTAGATATATTGAAGTAGTGCTTTGGGTTTCTTCGGATATATACCCAGAAAAGAAATCATTGGGTCATAAGGCAATTCCATTTTTTCATTTTTTGAGAAACCTCCATACTGTTTTCCATAGTAGCTGCAACAATCTGCAGTCCCGCAAACAGTGCACAAGAGTAACCTTTTCCCCCTATCATCACCAACACTTGTTTATTGGATTAAAACTTTGTGGCCCATGTGCAGAAGTCGGTTTTCAGCTTTCAAAAGAAATTTCAATCGTTGTGCTATTGATATTTGGCTCTATTGACTAAGGAGTTTGCCGACCACTGCCTTACACTATCTTCATATTTTTGGATTCTTTTTTCTTTATTGCTCTTCTGATTGGGTGTTTTTTGCTTCCTCATATTTCAAATCATTGATTTGATTCTTGGGATCCTCTACTCTACTGATGAATCCCTAGGAGTTATTCTTTATTATGGTTAGTGTATTCTTAATTTCTTGCTGATCTTTTTCCATGTCCTTGGCATTCTCACTGAGATCCTTGAAAGTCTTACTAAGTTCCTTGAAGACCTCATGAAGATCCTTGAGTAACCTTATAACCATGATTTTGAACTCTATACCCAGCAATTTGCTTTCTTTTATTTCTTTCATTTGTGACATGTTTCTTTGCCCCCACATTTTGGCTGCTTCCCTGTGTTTGTTTCTATGTATTGGGTATAGCTGCCATGTTTCCTGAAATTGGCAGAATGGCCTTGTGTAGCAGGTGTCATGTAGGGCCCAGTGGCTCAGCCTCCCCAGTAACTTGAGCTAGACAATCTAGGTGCGCCCCTGGGTGGGCTATATGAACAGTCTTGTAGTTGAGACTTGATTGCTGTTGGTGTTACTGGAAGGAATTGACCTCCAGGCCAATTGGCTGTGAGGACCAGCTGCGACTACAGTGGGAAACATGCTGTACAGGAAACACTCCTATGAAACAGGACTTGCTTCAATAGGGCTTTGGTGCTCACTGTCTTACCCTTGAGTGTGTCACTTCTCTATGCGTAGAGTTGTAATCTGGTATGGTCTGAAGCTGTCCACCAGGTACACTGGCTCTTGGATCTCCAGGGAGGTACAAAGTCAGATTCTGCCTGGGGCCTTCTAGAAGGAGCTACAGAGAGATCTGCAGATTCTTCCTATTTGTATTGGATTTGGAAGTGCCCAGGCTAGGCCCAGCTGTGAAGCAAGGCAGGCCGGTGCTGGTGCCAGGTCTTGGGTCTCTTATTGATAGGTTTGGGGCATGCTGACACCAACGTCAGTCTGTTTGAGAGATTTTAGCAAAGTCGGAAGCCTGAATGAGGATAAACCATTCATATGGAAAAGCTGCTGCAAACAGCCTAGGTAGGGCTGCAAATTAGATGAAATAGGGTCTCAGGGAATCATCAGGGTGGAGCAAACAGAGTGCTCCAGGTTGCCAGTCAGATGTGGTTGCCAGTCAGCCTAGGGCAAGGGAGATTGATCCCTGTGAGCTCCTCCATCTGATAGAAAGCCGTCCCTGAGTTCTTGCCCTGATGCCAGGCAATCCAGTTTCTCCTCCACATGTGATTGGGCCCCCCAACCTCCAAGCACTGAAGCTCAGAGGAAGTGAGTCTATGAGTAAGCTTGTGTGCAACCCTTTAAGGGGGGACACCCGGGTCTCCAGCAGCCTCCACGTCCCTCAGCTACAATGCTCACTGGTTCTTACAGACTGAAGTTACAGGGACTTTTCTTCCCAACTCTGGGACCCCTTGCTCCTTACAGAGGCCTCTGCAGGGACAATCTCCCCTCTGGATTACAAAAACAGCCCATGTGGGTTCCAGCCCAGCCCATTCTGCGCCTCCCCCGCTCCTACCAGTCTCAACATGCTTGCTTCTTTTCTTCTCTAGTTGTAGTACTTGCATTCAGCCAGCTTCCAGGAGATTCTGAATGATGGTTGTTTTGTATTTTTGTTGTAATTTTTATGTGGTTGTGGGAGGCAGTGAGTTCTGGGGTTTCTATCGCTCCATCCCTCTTCCTTCTTCTCTTTCTAGAGTCAATAAAAATATTTTTTTAAAGTTACTTGTCATTCTCATACATGCCTCAGTTTCCCAAGTCATAAAATGGAGATAATTATAGGATTTTATGATGTTTAAATTAGTAAATAATTGTGTAGCACTTACAACAGTGCTAGGTAAGTGTTTGTTATATAAAGTAATAAATAAATGTTGGAGAGGGAGGGGGACAACAATGAGTTAGAGAAGACTTCATTTTTGAGCCAAAGGCTGAGAGAATAGTTAGTGGGGCATTGACTCAGTTGCTTTAGAAAACTGGATCTGGACCCGGAAGAAAGGCTGGGACTGAAAGCTTGGGAACCATCTGTGTAGAGAATACCATCTTTTAGGATTTCCATGTACTTCTGTGAGTGCTTTGTTCAGAGTGCAGGAAGAGCCCCAGACTGTTTCCTGGGTAGCAGTTTTACAAAATCTAAAGGATTATACAATAATAGTATTTTGTTTTGGCTTCTATAGAACATAAGGAGGGGGGGGTGGGGGAATAACCAAGGAAGTTAAAATCTTGATTTTAAGAGGCAAATAGTATACTTTAATATATAAAATAATGTGAATATTGATACTAATGTGAGTAAAAAATATGTTGATAAAGTTCCAGATATTTGGGCGAGAGTATCTCAGAGTACTTGGAATCCTTCAACATTGAATGGTTTTGCTTTAAAGACAGAAAGGAGGGGGTAACATGAGAATTCCTGAGTTGGGGTAGTGCGATATAGTGGTCGCCTTCCCTCTAGAAAACACTGCTGGACAAAGAGAAGCAGAGAGCCCCCTTCTGGAGCAGGCTTTCCCTCCAGGTCTCTGTTCTTATCATTGCACTCGTGAGGGAGGAAGCTCTTTAAATGGCTGCTTTGGAGCACACACATGTACACAACTTCCTTTCATATCTGACCTTGAAGCAAATACCCTAGGATATCTCAAATTATATTTCATTTGTCTTGGGGTTTTGATATAGAATATAGCTTCTTACGTTTGGTAATTTTTGTTACCACGCACCCCATGAGTTATCTTCATTGTATACATTGACCCAAGTTGCCACAGAAAACTACTTACCACTGTGACTTAAAACGTATGTCATTGGAGCAGGATCTGTAGCTCACCTCCATGAACTGTCTTAGTGCTATTGGATGCAACAGAAAAAGGTGCTCCTTTCCCTCTAAGATTTCACATCCTAATGTTTAGTGCTGAACTTGTTAGAAAATACATTTCTCTGTTTTTATGAAAATAAGTCTGCTTAAGTTTTCATAGGATCTTCTCCCTTTAAATCTTTGGTGTTCTAATGTTTTATGGAAGTGCAGATCTCTTAATTGATGCAGCAGAAAGAAATTGAGGCAATGACACAGTCCCACGCAAAGGCTACATGAGCGTCGAATCGTGCAGGCCTTGGATTCCATGAGCTAAGTGACCTCACAGGCATCCCCTCTGAGCTTCAGTGTCCTTAAATATAAAATAGCAATGGAAATGCCTGCTTCAGAAGTGTGCTACAAAGACAAAGTAATAAACTATACCAGCACCTCAGGTCAGGAAATAGAGCGCTGTGTGCCAGCCACTGTGTTAGAGGCTCCTAGGAAACAGTCCATGCTCTTAAGGAGGCATGGTCTGTGATACTACAATACTTAGAAAACAGTGAGATTTCCATCTTAGACAGAGTTAGAGTACTTACATTGCTGTATGATATGCAGGAAACTCTGCATCTAATTGAGTGCAGATGACTACTGAGAAAAAAGGTCATGCCTTTTTCTAACTCCTGGTTCTTAACAGCTCATCCATTCCAAGTTTCCATCAACTGTAAGCAGACAAGAATGAAACACTCATCCTAATTCTTCAATTACTGCTTTCCACAACTGTAAGAAAAAGCACCGTAAAAATGGTGGCTTAAACAACTAAATTTTATTTTGTAACAGTTCGAGAGGCTACAAGTCCAAGATCAGGGCTGGTTTCTGGTGAGGACTTTCTTCCTGGTTCGTGGACAAATGCCTTCTGGCTGCCCCTGTACCTGGCCTTTCTTCTGCACGTGTTTGGACAGAGAGAGATCTCTGGTGTCTCATTCTCTTCTCAAAGGGATACCAGAACTCACCCTATGTCTTAATAACCTTTTTTTTCTCCTTAAGAGCCCTATCTCCAAGTATAGTCACATTGGGGATGATAACCTTACTGATCTCCTTGAGGGCCCTATCTCCAAATATAGTCACATTGAGGGTTAGGGCTTTCAACATACAGGGGTGGGCAAAAGTAGGTTTACAGTTGTGAGTATTTGAATGTTTATTCTCATTTTATTTATTTATTTATTTATTTATTTATTTATTGCTAATTTATACAACTGTAAACCTACTTTTGCCCCATATGGATTTGGGCAGGGGAAGAGGGACACAATTCTTTTTTTTTTTTTAATATATTTTATTGATTTTTTACAGAGAGAAAGGGAGAGAGGGATAGAGAACTAGAAACATCGATGAGAGAGAAACATTAACCAGCTGCCTCCTGCACATCCCCCACTGGGGATGTGACTACAACCAATGTACATGCCCTTGACCGGAATCGAACCTGGGACCTTTCGGTCCGCAGACTGACGCTCTCTCCACTGAGCCAAATTGTGGCATGGACACAATTCTATCAATAACATGCATGTTCTTATTGGAACAATAAAATTTTTCCATAGGAGAAAACATTATTTTAATTTTCATGATTCTGGAAAGAACAGAATCAGAAGAGATTCAGAACAATAAACATGGTTTTAAAAGTCATTACATTAGTTAGAGATGATCATTGTTTATTACCAAAGAAGTGGGGAGATTAATCAGCCACCTATTATAACATATTTTTTAGTCAGTTCTGTAGTGCTGAGCACACCATTTGAATATTTATAACTTACCTAGTTCCAAAACAACTGGTTAGTCCCCTCAGTGATTGCAAGAATCCTAAAAAAGCAGACCCCGAAAACCTACCATGAAGTGATTGTCACGAGAAAATGTGATTCCTCTGTCCTGACCAAGTTCACGGTTAGATGAGAGCTGTCTAGGACAGTGCTGCGCTTGTCGGGCACAGACGGTCCTGCCCTGTAAAAAGTCACAGTAATCGGAGGCGCAGGCTCTGGTGGGAGCAGCTCGTCGCAGTGGCCAGGCGGGCACCTCACTTCCCAGACAGTACCTTCCAGAAAGGCCGTCACCTGGTGCCTGGGGCCACTTTCATGTAGGGCAGTGTAATAATTTTGAGAAACAAATCACAGTTCAGCTTTATCCTTTGAAAAATGGATGATGAGGGTGAGCAGAATATAGCAAAAGTACTTTGTTAGGACATTTACATTTTACATTGTGATATGGTGCCTTAAAAAAGTAATTTAAATGACTAATGCTTGAAAGAAAAAGAAAAGTTGTTTGGCCTCAAAAGTGGCCCAGGATATAAGCCTACAGAAGATGATATAAGAAAAGCTATCATGTTCAGAATATATTTTTTGTTTTAACTATCCGTATAACAATCTAACACTTTGCTATTGCTATTTTATTCTTTTTCTCTTTTTAATATATTTTTTATTTATTTCAGAGAGGAAGGGAGAGGGAGAGATAGAAACATCAATGATGAGAGAGGATCATTGATCGGGTGCCTCCTGCATGCCCCCCACTAGGGATCGAGCCTATAACCCGACATGTACCATTGACCAGAATTGAACCCTGGGACCCTTCAGTCCACAGGCCAATGCTCTATCCACTGAGAAAAACCAGCTAGGGCTCTATTTTTTTCTTCATCTCATTAAGTATACCCAGTGATGTTGGCATATACCAAGTATAAAGTGTGTTCTAAATATTTTTAAAGTATATTCATATGTAAAGTGTATTTTTGACATATCTCCCCATTGTTGAAAACCATCAACCTGAAATTTTAACTGGGAACCATTAGATAGTGTCTGAGAACAAAACTGTATTCACTTTGCAGTCTGATTCCTATGTTAAATTCTTGTGATCATTTTAAGACTTTAGGAGGAATTAGCATCCTGAGTGAAGGATTTTGCATGCTACCTTTTACACTAACTCCACTTGTATTATGCCCTTTTTTACTGGTGAAAAATAAAATTCAGGGGGTTAAGTAACCTAGTGAAGTGTTCACAATTCGTAAGTGATGGAGCCAGGAATTAATCCCAGGGCTTGGAAGAGGAGAAGCTAGCATCATATTGTTTGATCCTTTCGTTGTTTGAATTTAAAATTCACCATCCTATACCCATTGAGGTGATTATGGCAGAAAAAGGCCATTCCTCTGCCTTTTAGAAACTAGTCTGATGATTGTTCCCTCAGATGTTTACAATGTATGTAATATTCAAAAGGCATCTAATGAATAATTCTGCTAGTTTTGAAGAGATGGGGAGGAAAGGATTGTCCAACAGTTTCATCTTTGAAATTAATCCTTGCCTACGTCAGGAAGAAAGGTTCTTTTTTAAGTGATTTTTTAAAGGAGAGTTTGTAATGCTTGTTTACTTAAAGGAGACAGGAAGAATAGGCTTTGCACCGCCAGGAGCGCTTTCTCTAGTAGGTTGACTTCAGGAACTGAAGTTGCTTAGCAATAAGCACCTCTCTGCACTGGGCCAACAAGCTGTGTTCAGACTGTGTCTCCTTGAAAGAAGGGCATTCCTGTCACCTCCAAGTTGTTACTGCTGCTGCTCTCTTCTTCCTCTTCATACACACCCTTGCCAAGAAATACACACCACCTTACCTGCTGCCCACACACACACAGGCAGATAGAGAGCACTTACTGCAGTGTCCTTTGTATTGTATATAGTTAGTTGTGAGGGTGTATCTATCCCTGGCTCAGTTTTGAGCTCCTAGAGGCAGGGACTTTATATCTTTCCAGGGCAATGTACGTAAGATTATATACAATAGTAGTGTCCCGGTGCACAAGAAATGAGGGTGTTCCTCAACCTGGCCTGCACCCTCTCCAATCTGGGACCCCTCCAGGGATGCCCTACTGCTAGTTTATAGGAATCGAGCCTAAACCAGCAGTCAGACATCCCTCTTGCAATCAGGGACTGCTGGCTCCAGATTTCACCTGCCTGCCTGCCTGCCTGATTGCTCCTAACCACTCTGCCTGCCAGCCTGCTCGTCCCCAACTGCCTCCCTGCCAGCCTTCTCACCCCCTACTGTACCCTTTGCTAGCCTGCACACCCTCACCTTCCCTCCCCACTGGCCTGCTCACCCTCAACTTCCCCTTAGTTGGCCTGCTCACTCCAAACTGATCCCCACTGACCTCATCGCCTCCAACTGACCCCCACTGACAGCCTGCTTACCCCCAACTGGCCCCCTGCTGGTCTGCTTATACTCAACAGCCCCCCCCCCACTCCACCAGCCTGATCACCCACAACTGCCATCCCATCCTGGCCTAATCAGCCCCCCAGCAACCCAAGGTTCCAGCTACTCCTTTTTTTTCTTTTTCTTTTTTTTCCCCCCAGTGCCTCCTTGCGTAGAGGCCAGGGCAGGCAGGAAGCTTGGCTTCCTCCATCACTGGAGGCAACCCAAGCCTTCTGCTTGCTCCAGCTCCATGGCCACTGCCATTTTTTGTTGGGATTTATTTATCTTCTATAATTGAAACTTTGTAGCTTAGAGTGGAGGCCAGGGCCTGCCAGGGTGGGTGGGAAGCTTGGCTTCCTCCATCACTGGGGCAACCCAAGCCTCCTGGTCGCTCCAGCTCTGTGGCCACCACCATCTTGGTTGGGTTAATTTGCATACTCACTCCTGATTGGCTGGTGGGCATAGCGGAGGTATGGTCAATTTGCATGTTTCTCTTGTATTAGTATACATATGTTTGTTGAATATTTTCTTAAAAAGATCATTCTTATATTCCTTAGAAAGACAAGCTTTCTTGTCATCTCTGGGAAAGTTGTATGCCTCACATGAAACAGGAATGAATGAAATTCTGTACACCTATCTCAGAATAATAGATTGTTGAGATTGCTTCAAATCAATCCCTTTTCTGGAGTTTCCAACAAAACGATTTATCCTTTAATTTGTATAAGGAAGAGTTGTTTTATTCTAAGAAATGTGTGTATTACATGGAAGGTATTCATGTTCCTAATCTGTCTGTTCTTGTCATATTTACAGGCACAAACTGTGGGCTTCCCGGTGACCATGCATTCACCGAATATGCGACTGATGAGATCTACCCTCCTCCCACAGGCATCCAATGTGGAGGCCTTTTCATTTCCAGCATCCAGCTGTCAGGCAGAAGCAGCGTTTATGGAAGAAGAGTGTGTTGATACTCCAAAGGTATGGGTGTATTTGAGAGGCTGAGCTTGTAGATTGGCTGAAGACTTCAGTTGGGTCCATCGGTATTGGACTTGGACTTTGTTGAACTCTGTCATGTCCTCATGTCACTCAGGAGTGTTGTTTTTGAGCAGCAGAACCTGAGAAGAGCGTTCAGGGCTCTCATCACCGCCTTATCATTACCACTTACATAACTTGTCAGACCTCATATGTCCTTTTCAAAAGCCTTCCTTCTCTTTCCTTCACCAAATCCTTCTCTTTTCAAGTTTCTAGATCACACATAGGTTTTATATTTTTTTTAAACAAATTGTGATTCTGAAAGCAAATATAACTTATGCTAGGGGTGTCGAACTCAATCAGAGAAGGGGCCAAAATCTAAAATCCAGCCTAAATCGCGGGCCGAATGGTTTACTGAACAGTCATAAACTGTCATTGTGATGGAAACGCAGCGGAGTGCAGTGATGACAGCGCGGTGCGGGCCACATTGCAAGGCCTGGCGGGACGGATTTGGCCCGCGGGCCTTGTGTTTGACACATGTGCCTAGAGGCAGGGACTTTTCTTTATATCTTTTTAGGGTAATATATGTAAGATTATATACAATATATGTTTGTTGAATATTTTTTAAAAAGAGCATTCTTATATTTCTTTAAAAAGACTGCAGCTCCGCAATGATGTGCTGTCTGTTGTGGTCAAACATCTTTTTTGTCCTGTTTGGGCATGCTTAATGGAGATAAGTTTATCCTGCTATCCTACATGCAGGTGGCTTTTAGAACGTAGACGGGTATAGCTTCTCTCACTTAATGGATATTTACTTCTAATGTGTGTTTTATATACTTAGCATCAAATGATATACAAAGGACCGTAGAAATGGGCAGGTATGTTCAAAATAGACTTTGTTCTTTGCTAACTGGGTGAATTTGGGCAAGAAGGCTGGCGTGCTTCTTTGCTATTGTGTTTTTTTAATATGTTTTTATTGGTTTTAGAGAGAGAGACAAGTATGGATAGGCTGCCTACCACATGCCTCTACCAGGGATCAAGCCCATAACCTAGGCTTGTGCTCTGACTGGGAATTGAACCTGTGACTTTTTGGTGCATGGGATGACACTCAGCCAACTGAGCCACTCTGGCCAGGGCCTGACTAGCTTCTTTGAACTGCTGTTTCTCTTATGTAATATCAGACTACCAACTTTATGAGACTATTGTGAGGATTAAGATAATGTCTGAGGTTCTGGCCAAATTTTAGGCACTTAATAAGTATTGGTTTCCTGTTTTTTTGGCCTATTTAGGTAATAAAAAGGTGAGTCAGACATTAATTCTGCCTCAAAATTTATAATGTAGCAGAAAAGCCATGATGCATAACTAAAAACAATGTGCCCGATTCTGAATAAAACGATAAAATATAATAGGTCCTTTATTTTTTTCACCCCTCCTTCAGCCCTCTCACCTCTGACTTGCTCTCTGTATGTATGGGTTGGTTTTGTTTTATTTCCTCACTTATTTTGATTTTTTTTAGACTCCACATGTAAGTGAAATCATATGGTATTAGTCTTTCTCTCTCTGACTTATTTCACTTAGCATAATGCCCTCTAGGTCCATCCATGTTGTTGCAAATGGCCAGATCTCATTCCTTGGGAGCAATATTTCCTTGTATATAAACACCAGTTTTCTTCGTTCATTCATCTGTCAATGGAGACCTAGGTGGCTTTCATGTCTTGGCTATCTATAATAATAAAAGTGTAATATGCTAATTAGTCCAGATGTCCTTCCAGACAAAGCCGGGGCCGTGAGGGGAGTCTGGGTCCCAGGTGCCTGCTGGCGGCCGGAGGGAAGCCGGTGCCGGCGGCCAGGGGCAGGAGACCTACTCTTGCCTCTAGTTGTGAAATAATGCTGCAATGTACATAGGGGTGTGTACAGCTTTTCCAAATTAGTGTTTTGGGTTTCTTTGGATATATACCCAGAAGTGATATTCCTGAGTCATATAGCAGCTCTATTTTTATTTTTTATTTTTTATTTTTTACAAACCTACATACTATTTTACACAGTGGTTTTGCTAATCTGCATCCCCACCGACAGTGAACAGGGGTTCCCATTTCTTCACAAGCTCGCCAGCACTTGTTAGTTTTTTATTTTTTTTATGTGTCCTTTTGACAAGTGTGAGGTGGTACCCTACTGTGGTTTTGATTTGCATTTCCCTGGTGATTAGTGATGTTGAGCATCTTTTCATATGTCTTTTGGCCACCTGGATATCTTCTTTATCCTCTGCCCATTTTTTATTAGATTGTTTGGGGGTTTTTAATGTTAAATTGTATGAGTTTCTTACATATTTTGGATATTAACCTCTTATCGGATCTGTCGTCGACGAATATCATTCCTTCACTGTGCAGAAGCTCTGTAATTTGATGTTGTCCCATTTGTTTATTTTTGTGGTTATTATTGTGTTGCCTTGCCCAACAAGACATATTTAAAAAGATATTGCTGAGACTAATGTCAGAGAGTTTACTGCCTGTTTTCTACAAGAAGTTTTATAATTTCAGGTCTTACATTTAAATCATGAATCCACTTTGTGTTTATATTTATATTTATGTACGGTGCAAGAAAGTGGTCCAGTTTCATTTTTTTTACATTTATCCAATTTTTCCAACACCACTACTGAAGAGACTGTCTTGATCCCCATTGTGTATTTTTACCTCCTTTGTCATAGATTAATTGACCATACCAATCAATTTATTATTTATTGGAATTTATTTGTTAATTGGATAATTTATTTCTGGGCTCTCTATTCTATTTTATTGATCTATATATCTGCTTTTATGCCAACACCAAACTATTTTGGTTATTGTAGTTGTTTAGTTCTGATAAGAATGCCATTGGCATTTGAATAGGGATTGCATTTAATCTTTATATTGTTTTAGGTAGCAAGGACATTTTTACAATACTTGTTCTTCCAATCCTTGAGCAATGGATTTGTATTCTCTTCAGTTTCTTTCTTCAATGTTTTATACTTTTCAGAACACGGATCTTTCATCTCTTTGATTAAGTTTATTCCTAGATATAATATGCTTTTAAATGCTATTGTAAATGGTATAATTTTTTTAATTTCTTCTTCTAATCATTCATTATTAGTTTAAAGCAGGGGTGGGAAATATCCGGTCGGTGGGCAGTAGAAAGCCCACAAAGTCATTTATTCTGGCCCTGCCAAGGCATTAGGGATGAGTTCATCAAATGTTTGACCATATAGAGCAGGTTAATTTTTAAGTTGATCATTTTGTATGGCCTGTGAATGATGTTATAAATATCTAAATGGCCTTTGACAGAAAAAAAGGTTACCTACCTCTGGTTTAAAGAAATAGAAATCAAAGTGATCTAAGACTAGAAGGAAGCAGGGGGAGTTGGTTTTAGCTGATTTGAACTGGAAAGTCTTTGGGTGAACTGTCAGAGTTAGCAGCGAGAGAGGTGCAGAATCTGGCTGATGGGAATGGGGTGCCACCTAGGTGGAGGGAAAAGCCCGAGCACAGCAAACAGCAGGACAGCCAGGGTCCCTCTGAGCCAGCACATGGCTCCAGGGTCTCAGGAAGGGGCTGTGAGAGGGGAGTCATGTGGGAGAAGGTTGAGCAGTACATCAGGGACTGTAAGCTTTTCTTCAGGCTAGGGTGCTCCATGTAGGAATGTGCGCAGTGTCATCAAGAGAGTTTTTTCAGCCGGGACCGGTTTGGCTCAATGGATAGAGCGTCAGCTTGGGGACTGAGGGGTCCCGGGTTCGATTCCGGTCAAGGGCATGTATCTTGCTTGCGGGCATATCCCCAGTAGGGGGTGTGCAAGAGGCAGCTGATCGATGACTCTCTCTCATCGATGTTTCTAACTCTCTATCTCTCTCCCTTCCTCTCTACAAAATCAATAAAATATATTTAAAAAAAAAAAAAAAAAAAAAAAAAAAAAAAGAGAGTTTTTTCAAATGGACTTTTCCAAGGTAGTGGGAAACAATTTAAAAAAAAATTTTTTTAATCAAAGAAGCACTGTGATCCATGTTGTACTTCAGAAATTAGCCAGGAAGGGGACATTGGATGGGAGAGAGACTGGTGACAAGGACAGTGAAAGTTAGAACATGTGTCCAGTAGGGGAGACAAAGAGGGCCTGAGCTAGGATAGTGCTCCTAAAACTAGAGAGCAGGGGGCGCTACTAGTATAAGTGAGATCATACAGGTAAAACGATAGTCTGTTAGGGTCCAGAGAGAAGTACAAACTGATAGTAGCATTTGGAGCCTTGATGATGGGAAGGGTGAGTGCCATTATCAGAAACAGGGGGCTCTGGAGGCAGAACTGATTTATAAGCTAAATATGAGTTTAGCTAGAGCAGTGGCGGTAAACTACTGCTTGAGAGCCACATGTGGCTCTTTGGCCTTTTGAGTGTGGCTCTTCCACAAAATACCACGTGCGGGCGTGCATGTACAGTGCGATTGAAACTTCGTGGCCTATGCGCAGAAGTGGGTTGTCGGCTCTCAAAAGAAATTTCTATCATTGTACTGTTGATATTTGGCTCTGTTGACTAATGAGTTTGCCGACCACTGAGCTAGAGCATAGTCAAGGCAGCTGGGTGCTGGGCTTCCACACACAGCTGGTAAGCAGAGTGCTGAGCACGAGGAGTGTCCGTGCCCTGAGAACACCACCTCCTGGGGACAGTTTTTTTCCCTATGCCTGGCATGTTCAGTTATCTCATAAACTGCTACTACACTAGGGTGACATAATTTATTTATTTTAAGATCTAAGTCCCTTGAAAAAAATAAATTTCAGTCTGCTAAAATCTTGTCTGTGAGGGCATCTGGTCCAAAACACAGATTGGGCACTGTCTACTGTATTATATAGGACAAGCTATTTTTAAAGCTTGTGATTGTTACCGTAGCTAGGAAACAGACAGGAAATGAATGATTTTGTGAAAGATATAGATAGTAGCTAGATGGTGTATTTGCATTTGTAAGAAAAGCAGTGCCACGCTAGAACTGGCCACCC